CCTGATTGGATCATGTGATGGACATGTGGGTGCTGGGCAGGGACTTGAACTTTCACTTGGAGGGGGGAATCTGGAAGCTTTCAAATTTGGGTTTTCCCAGAGGTGCCAGCATGATATCCCTAATAAAATGGAACTTTGAGGAAACTCAAGTCTCGGAGTCTACTTTTGTTGTGGGTATTACTTGGAACCCTGACAGCCAACTCTGACCCCACTCAGTTCATGCCTTGCCTCTGACCCTGTTTCCCCCTCCCCTCAAAGTGTGTCATCAGTCACATTCCTCACCAAACAATTTCATGGGTCATAGAAGTCACTCCCTCTGGCCATTATTGGTTTCTGTGGAGATGGCCTTGACTTTGGCTGGCTCGGATGTGCATTGCTTTGACCAAGGTGCAAATTGCTTGATGCAGCTGCGAGGCTCGATCCCCCCCAGCCCCCCTGCATATGGCAATTTGGGAGTAGGTTGGAATGCTTTGCGAGTTGACAAATGTGACTCAAAGACACTAACATTGTCACCAATTGCCAAGTGCCAGAATCTTAATTACTGTTGTGGCCCACCTGCAGCCAGCAGAGCTGGTGGCAGACTCAGACAGTGAGGAGGTTGGGGAGGAAGATGGGCCAGTCCTAGAGTCTGGGGAAGGCTCTGATCAGGACTCTGCATCAGAAGGCAGAGATGGGGCCCGGGCCATCTGATAGTTATTAGCTGCCTTCGAAGTTGGGGATTGGAAGGGACAGAAGAACAGCTGGAGCCTGTTCCTGATGTGTGCATGCGCAGAGCTGCCAGGAGAAGGGAACAGTTAAGAAACAAGGGCTGACTCGGGAGTAAAGGCATAGGGAATAAAGAGGAGTGAAAGGGAGTGGAGTTTGCAGGAGCAATTAGTTTGCTTAATTAGTGTGAAGATTTGTCCCTGACTCTCAGGGAACTATTTTCTTGTACAGCATTACATTTGGAAAATACCAACCTGGCAGTTCTCCAAGCCTGATAAGGTCTGTGGCTGTAAATTCACCCTTGAAAGACTGTTTGCCGGGATTTTGCTGGGTGTGAACGAGAGGAATTCACATTAGCTTAATAAAAAGGGGTTTTGTGGGGACAAGGAGTCTGCTTCTTGATTTGGTGAAGCCTAGGTCAGAACAATTACATGACCACAGGGATGCTGCCATGGTTGAAAATGTGAGGACAGATTTTGAGTCACTTTTTTCAGTGCTATTGTAACTTTGAACAAATGGCTGTAAGTCGAGGACTTCCCGTATATCCAAACAAACAAATCACAGGAGCTAACAGGATTTAGCTGTGTATCAAAACCAAAACTCTTAAGAAACACACTTTCCTTCCAATCCCAAAAGAAATCTCTATTTTTTTCTCCAGAAAATATAAATGCTGTGCCAGACTCCCACTGGAGCTCCCAGTCCCATGATTTTTGCACCTATGGCAAGCGTGCCACAGGTGGCATGCAGAACCTTCTCTGCAGGTACACAAGCCTTTGCCCCAGCTCAGCTCCACCATGCATGTGCATGGGCCTCCCACCAGCCAGCTGATTTTCGGGGCTCTGCTGCACATGCATGGGGTACGGGATGCATGTGAGAGATGCACACGCATGTGTTGGGGGGGCAGAGGTGTCACGTGTGCATGCACAGGGGGGGCAGGGCACAGGGAGGTGTTGTCCGTCCATTGCATTTCGGCACGCGACAACAAAAAAGTTAGCCATCACTGTCCTGGCCTCTATTTGCCTAAACCTATCTGTTGCTCAGAAAGAGACCTTCTAAGGAACGAAGGAGACCCCACTCTCATTCCTTTTCATTCTGCAGAATCCCATATGTTTTATGATACTTGGAATTCCCAGGCAGATGGAGCACTTAAAGATTAAACAGAGGAGACATGGACAGGGGGAGGGGGACCCAGATGTATGGTAATCCTAGATTGTATTAGATGGCACACAGTGCCTTTTGCACACTACAAGATGAATTTGAGAAAGCAAGACTTGCAATAAATCACACATGCACACAAAAATTATAACCTCTTGAACCTCCCAAATATTTAATGAATAAAATGTAACCAGAGCATGCCAGATTAGGGATGGATCAAATTAGATTTCACTCAATTTTTCATGTTTATAAAAGGAAGTTTGGCTCATTTGTATGAAATTCAATGAAAATCTATGTGGATTATCATATTCTTACCTCCTTGTATATACCATTGTACAGTATATTTGTTATTGTAATGTACACATATTTCCTATTCCATCATCTAAGGTCTATTATTTTTCACCAATATATACTTTCTGTATATATTTTTAATTGGAAGACTACATAGCCGGAACTTTTAAGAGTCCATATATTAAAGAATAATCAATTTTCATTTCAGATGGAAGACTGAATTAGCAAGTTCCCTTTAAAATGTGATCCAACTGAATCCCTTTCCTCCTATTTCTCATAACAATACCAGATAAATTTAGCTGATTCTGGAGCATAGGACAATTTTATCTGAAAGTCTCCCGCAGGTTTGATTTGTAGAATTCAGTTAAAACAAAACATCTTTACACAACATACAATTACAAAATCTATTAAACTGGCATATTTGAACATTTCCAATTCAAACAATTAGCTAAAATGCTGCCAAGAATACAGCTGACTTAATTTTACATTTAAAACCAAATCAGGAGTATTATACAATAATATATCAGGCAAGCTGAATGTCAGTACAAGAACATTGAGCTTTTCCTGTTACGAGACATATAATTATTGAATTATTTTTTCCTCATAACAGACTTTAAAAGAATAGAGACTCATGGTCAGTGGTGGGTTGCAGGCTGTACACCCAGGGACGGGCGTACTGGATCCTACCCGGAGCACCGGATACCGTTCCGGTATGGTTCTCCGTGCCCACCCACCCACCCAAGCTCCTTACCTGTCTTTTAAGGCTTTTGCGCTTCCGGGAATGTGCATGGTGCATACAGCACCTGCGCGATGCTCTGGAGAGCAGCTGGAGCATTGCAGAGGATCACGGAGGTGCTAAGATGCATGCGCAGGTTGTGCATGTGTGCGTGCACTGTGCGTGTGTGTGCACGCTGCACATGTCCATGAGGACGCCACCAGACCCGTTCCAACTGTACCGGTTGGAACAGGATCCGAAACCCACCACTGCTCATGGTCAACCTATATTTCACATGTTTTCACATTTCAGTGGGGCAGAATACACTAGGAGCTGCCCTACTAACTCTTGTCTAAACTGGTTATTGGTGTGTATAATTGGGATAAATTATAACTGGGATTTATCTGAAGACTCCAAAATTATTCTTTACTCTTTTATGTTAACGTGTGGGGGTAAAGAGCAGCAAAATCTGACACTGAAATAGAAGAAAATGACTAGGCTAGAAACAATACTTATTGTGTTTATAGCAAACTGGGTTGGCTGAAAGATTTAAACAGAATAAGAGTAGTTATTTATAGCCACAGTTAAAAAGTCTAGCTGTTTCTGCTTGTAATCTTAGGATTTTCATCTGCAAGTAAAATGTTTATATGCTCAGATGTATTTTTTCCTAGTTTAGATTTTAAAATAGACTGGATAACTTCTTGCTGAGGACTCTTATAACATTCACAATACAATACTTTGTTTTTCTTTTAAAATGTTTAACTATGGTTATAAAACCAAGATTTTTAGTAATGTATCATTAAATTGGGATTTTAAGTAGATTATGTAATATTCATTATACATTTTACTTGCTAAATTGTTATGTTTAATTTATGATTGCATTTGTATCTTGTTTTTGGTCTTTAGGCTATAAATAAAATTGATTGAAGTTTGGAGTAGTCATTTCCAGACCAAAATAGTTACAGCACACTTAAGATGGATGTGCAATTTTTGTTGAGCCATACAATAAGCACATTTGGGTGTGGTGTGGTATTCTGAATCACTGAACTTTATAAATCCTGCTTTATGGCTTAATAAATTGTAGGAGGCCAGCAAGTCTGGTTTATAAACATGGTTTATAGCTCATTGTGTTTTGTGAATCAGCCACTGTGATTTATTCAGCAATCTATCAGTTAAATAAACTAGGCTTAGCATGATGTGTGAACTGAACTCAATCACTCCCCTTTCGCTGTCCGAATGAAAAGGTGGCAGTTTGTGATTTGTTCATTCAGAATTAAGAATGTGCAGGATATATTTTTAGCATGATAGTCAAAATGGTGTAAATATCACTTTAGTCACTTTCCCCTTAGACAAAAGTATTTTTAAAAAATGAGTTCAGTGATCGTGTCTAAGGAGATTCTCAGTCATCCAGGTCATGGTTTCCCAAAGGTGCTTTTTCGAGAGGCAAATGGACTTCCTTGTTTTTTCTTTGAAGATATTTCACTTCTCATTCAAGGAGCTTCTTCAGCTCTGACTGGCTGGTGGGGAATGGAGAGATTTATATGGAAGTCAGAGCTGAAGAAGTTTCTTGGAAGAGAAATGAAACATCTTCAAAGAAAAACAGAAAGTCCAGTTACCTCTTGAAAAAGCGGTTCAGTGATCCTGATTTCATATTTGTTTCGGTCAGAACTGCAAGTAACATGCTAGTTTTTCCTTGTTTTCCCCAAGATTAATGGTTTTTAAAATAAAAGGTAATTAATGAGCTTATCTAAATGGGTTAGATATTATGATGGTTGGTTAATTGATAAGCTAAGGGAAACCAAATACATTTCATTATAGTTACTCCAGGTTATGAATCCAGCCAAGGATACCAATCTTCACTTATTCCAACATATTGCCACAAACAAACTTCTAGTGAGTGAATTGGGCAGCCATATAAATTTTCTTAATAAATAATAAATAAAATATGCCAAGTGGAGGTCTGGATCTAGCACTAGCTGACACCCCAGGGTAGCAATAGTGATCATCTGTGATCATCTGTGATCATCCAAGTTACCTTGTGGGCATCCAGGGGCCTTTCTCCTTAGATTGCCAGGTATATATATATATCTGAAATAAAGGAGGAAATGTGATGGAGGCGAAGATGGACACTTACGTTGGTTTGGATGCCTCAGCCTGGTCAGTCTGTAGTTTTTCTCCTCCTTCCACTTCCATAGTGCAATATACAATCCGGTTGGGTGCTAAGGATTTGAGACCCTGAACTTCCATGATGACAACCTAAAGGAGAGAGAGGGAGGGAAGGAAAGAGGGAGAGGGAGGTGGAAGGGAGAGGGAGGGAAGGAAGGAGAGAGGGAGAGGGAGAAAGAGAGAAAGAGGAGGGAAAGGGAAAGAGGGAGGGAAGGAGAGAGGGAGAGGGAAAAAGAGAGAGGTGGAAGGGAGAGAGGGATTGAGGGAAGGAGAGAGGGAGAGGGAGAAAGAAAGAGAGAGGAGGGAAAGGGAAAGAGGGAGGGAAGGAGAGAGGGAGAGGGAAAAAGAGAGAGGTGGAAGGGAGAGAGGGATTGAGGGAAGGAGAGAGGGAGAGGGAGAAAGAAAGAGAGAGGAGGGAAAGGGAAAGAGGGAGGGAAGGAAGGAGAGAGGGAGAGGGAGAAAGAGAGAAAGAGGAGGGAAAGGGAAAGAGGGAGGGAAGGAAGGAGAGAGGGAGAGG